CCCCACACTGTACCTGTGATTGCTCCCAGCCCTTATTTTAAATGGTTTGATTAATTACATACCTCCAAATACTTGTGTTTCTAACCTAACCCACTTTGATAAGTAGTGAACTGGGGTGTGGCCACATAAATTGGGATATTGATAGACCTGAGAGCAATCTCTATCTTCATCCTGGTTCAGTGGTAGGTGGAGCAACACATGAGAACTTTGTTAAAGCCTTCTGAAAAGCAGTCAGGTCTACTTTTACCTGCTTGATATATACCCCAATGTAAAAAGCACTTCAGAGTGCGCTCTTTTCTCATTTTTTAGCTACTTCATTCTAGAAGTGCTTAGACATGCTAAGAATAAATGTGGAAGGCGGTGTATTCTAAGTAAGCCTCCTGCATTCATAAAACAAATACTAACATCACCCTGGAAAAATGAGTGTATACTTACAGATATGTGTTTGTGAGTGCTTTTGGAAAGGGCTGACAGAGTTCTGAAGATAGGGCTACTGAAAGTAGAATTACTCAGGAGAAAGTTTAAGATGATAGAATCACTTCTCTGGAATTCTTGTCTAACTGAAATCAGACTCTTCCCCTGCCTGCGCAGGTTAAGTCAAGATTTACTACGTTTAATACTACTTTATCTCAAAAGGTGGTGTCTTTCTTGGCCCAGCTTTTGCATGGAAGAAGATTAGAAAGTAAGAGTTTCGACAAGGGAGAGAAAAAACATTGTAATAATTTTGTTGCTTGTGGTCAACTTAGCGTCCATGTTAGCATTTAGAATGCCTCATGGCTGGAGGTGTTGCTGAACCTGAGACGGACGAAGGCCTCTGCTCTTGCTTCAGCAAGTCATGCAAAACAATGACCTTGTATGTAATAGGCCATAAGTTTCCTCAAGGAGGCTGTGAAGTCTCCATCCTTGAAGACATCCAAAACCTAACTGGACACAGCTCTACGCAACCTGCGGTACCTGACCCCGCTTTGAACAGAGGGTTGGAGTGGACAATCTGCAGAGGTCCCTTCCCACTTCAATCATTCTATCACCTTAAAAGTTCTGTGATTCTGTGATCTTAAATGTTAACAATTCATGGGCTGATTGTGGCATGAAAGCGTCCAAAATAGTCCAAGTTCTCTGGTGTAGCTGGTGTTAGCCCAGTTCTGCTGCAAACTTCATTGGTCTGATGATTCCTCTTGACTTCTATGAAAACTATGTATACCAATTGCTCTCTTTCTGCAAATAATCGGGAGAAATTAATGGGGAAAAATATTAGATTTCTCAATTCAACTGCCTAATACATGTGTGGAACTGACTGCACTTTTATTGATTTGTATAGTACAAAAGTAGGCGTGGTTTTCTGTCTTGTAGTAACTAGCTACTAACTGTCTGTTTTCTGCTGTTCCCCACAGTATTTGTGCAGAGCACTACTGAATGAAAGTTCAAGAGATTTTAAGTGTGGTTGTAGTGGTTTGAGGTGGTAGAGATGTCCCTGAAACAATGGTAGAAGGAGCTTTGCTGAGTACTATGACATGTTCCAAAAGCTTAATAGCTTGGAAACCATCATGATAGTAGTGTGGTGAATATGGAGTGCTTGAACTTTTTTCTTATTCAGAGATAAAACATAAAATTGTTCTGAAACTTATTTTAAATGGTCTACGGTTGTTCCTTCATATCAATTGAACTGCATGATAGGTTTCTTTTCAAAGGTAACTGTTGTAGATTATTTTTGCTCACAAATAACAATTCTGAAGTAACAGAAGCTTCTACACAGCACCAGACATCGATAATGATAATAAAATAATTACCAGACTCCAGAGTGTCTATGTTAGTAGAAATGTGTTGACTGCTTTGTTCATATATCCGTAACCCCTTACCATCACCATTTGGAATTATTTGCCTACATCCACATATTCATTTACAAGGAACTGATGACAATAATGTCTCTTCTGACAGTTCCAAGGCTTTCAGGGTGGATCTGTATTGCAAGTGTTATCCCTTGGACATGAAAGGTGATGTAGAGCTACATTACACATTGATCTGTGTACTTCCTATATGTTATTATAGAAAAGTGTTATTATAGTGTGTTACAGTTGCATTCCCTAATTACTTACAAACAGTTGTGAAGTTAAGCTATAAACTAATTTCTATGACAACCAAAAATACAGTCAAAATATGGCTTTTCTAGCATGGCCTACATCTGTGGTACAGAAGTTTTCACCACATATTGGAAAAGAGAATTTTTGCCTTTTTCCTTTGAAAACCTTGAGATCAGCATTTCTCTTGTTAGTGTCAGACCTTTTCAGACAAGAGGCATCTTTCAACACTGGCAGGTCAGGTATGATGGAAAAAGACAAGAGCTGCGAAAAGAAGAAACTACCAGGCAATTCCTGTGCTTTTTAACTGAAAGCTGTAGCAGCAGGCCAGCCATCGTGAACGTAAATTCTGTTACAGAGAAAGTGTCACACAGACACAGCAGGAATGAGTATAGGGGTAGTAGAAAAACAACTTGCTGCTATTCTCACGTCCCAGTGAATTTCACCTACAACCTGCCACTGCCCAGAGATTTGATAGGACTTGCAGTGACATAAAATGAACACAATTCTGTATTGACACAGAAAATACTGAGGGAGTGAAGAAAGATACCAACTGGACTGTTTCACAGATCAGCAACTTTGCTGAGTGATTTCATCCTGAGGTGCAACGTTTCCATTGAACCTGAGTTTGGTTCAGTTGAGGAAAAAAGGCATCTGCAAATAAGTTATTAGCTCTACCAGTTCTTTCTCTTGCTATCTTGCTGCTAAAATTTTGCATTTCCTTCACACTGCTCATTTGTTGTAGATAGCTGTAAATTAAATGTCAACAGGATTGCTTCTCCCCCTCCCATAAAGCTGGGGAAAATTACCTCTTCGAGTCTACTGGACTTTCCCTCTGCCTGTTACCAGGCTCCTACTGCTCTCACAGACCTGTTGTTGCTGTCTTCTGGCTGAAAGTTTCAAGAAACTGGAGTGACTGCGCAAATAAGGTTGGGACAGTTTTAGAACTAAACTTAAGCATACGCAGGGAAAGAACCAGCAAAGGGTGCCTGAGGAGATGATAGAATTTGTGTTTGCAGAGGTATTCTGAACTTGACAAGGTCTCCAGCTGTCTGCTTTAAGTGAGCAAAGGGTTTTACTTGGTGACCTCCTGAGATTCCTCTCAAACTGAATTATCCTGCAAGTATAAAAGTAGAAGGACAAGATGAAATAGGAATGTAATCATCATGGCTAGGTTTCGTGAATGAAGATTTGGGAAGGGCTCTACCCACATTTGCTACAAGTGTGCTGGTGGCTAAAAAGGCCAATATGAGATAGACAGGTCAGCTTGCAGAAGGCGCAGCGGAAAGATTGCTTAGGTGGTAACGACAGGACACGATTCTTTCTGCGTTGTCTTTTCTCCTCGAGAGTGATCCTGCGTGTGTTCTCAAAGGAAACAGCTGCGTTATAGATGGTGTGTCTCCAGACCTCCCGACTGGAGGCCAGAGTAGACCAGTTATGTTGATCAATATGGCCAAGGCTGAGATGTTGTTTCAGGGAGTCCTTGTATCTTTTCTTCGGGGCTCCTCTCTTGTGGCAGCCAGTGGCAAGTTCACCATAAAGCAAGATCTTAGGGAGGCGGTGGTCCTTCATCCTGGAGACGTGCCCTGCCCAATGCAGCTGCGTTCTCATCAACATGGCCTCAATACTGGAATGTAATAGAACAAGTAGAAAGGTAGCCACAGAACTAATCAAAACTTGTAATTCCCCCTACCCAAGTTATTTTGGTTTGAAATTAGCTGTGGGATTAATCCAATGTTTTTGGGTGGCATAGGAATAAATCACTGCAGTTGCATGCAGTTCTCCTGTCAATGACATTTCATCTGTATTAATGGAGGTCTAGCTCTCTTTTCTCTTTCTGAACAGATGGACCACAGTGAAGCTGTAGGGGGTTGCTCCCATCATCTATAAATGATTAAGGACACATGAGAAAAATGCTGGATAACAGCTGGAAAAAGAAATAGGGAAAAGTTAAGTTATAGAGTAACACTGACCTATTTCCTTCCTGTGTTACTCAATACCTAGGCAATAGACTGTGTACGGTGGGATGAAATCTGTAATTAACACAGGCATCTCCTCCTGAAGTGCATATTTCCAGTCTTTCCAAGTGGAACTATACCACTTTGTATAAACTACTTAAATATACACAAGTAGCATGTAAACAAGTGGGTGTGACTCCCTAGTTTGGTGGTTTACAGATGTAATTGGGAGCAAACCCAGCTGGGTTCCTGCCCTGGTGGATTATCAGCACAAATTAATTAATATAAGCTCAACAAAGCTGTTGAAACAGTATCAACAGGAGAATCTAAGCTCTTCTACTCCAGAGATACTGTAGTTTGTTGTCAAAGTAATGCTGTGGGAGAACAAGAGATATGAGTTCAAATACCCTCAGGTAGAGAGGAAAAATGAGGCCTATGGCTGCCACATCCATGTGTGCATCCTAACCGCTTAGCTCTCGGCTGAAAGGCAGGTGGCCAACGCCTTGGAAAACCTTTAGTTTCAGTTCTGCTTCTTCTGCACGTACTTGAGAGGGATTGCTTAGTTTCAGACCATTAACAATTCAATTACTTCTATTTTTCTCATTAAAATTAAAAAAAAAAAAGGTATTTGGTGGCATTTGAACTTCAACTGAAGAACTAATTACACCACCTTGTAATGGAGTGTTTCTCTCAGCAGCACTGGTTTGTCTTGCTGGTGATTTATCAGGGTAATGCAATGAGGAGACCTGATACCACAGTTTCCTTGCATCTGGAGGATGGGAGGATGAGTGGATTCACACGGCAACACAAACCTTCGGGTTTAAGAAAGGGAGAACGGTCGCGATGGAGAAAGATTGCAGCGGATTTCAGTCGAGTAGGGGAAACCGGAACCTAGCGAGGAGAAAACGAAGGCAAATTTAAACAGGTTGAAATAATGCACCTGCACGACGACCACTGCAGGGGTTTGCGAGCGGATGCTCTTCGCCGCTCACCGCACGCAACTTGCCCGACGCGCCCAGACCTCCGGCTCGCCTTCCCGACGGCTGATGGCGAATCCCGGGCCCGTGATGAGCCGCTCCCGCCGGGGCGGGGGGCGCGGCGCCGCCGGGGAGCCAATGGGGACCCGCGGCCGCGCCGCTCCGCCCGCCCCGTCGGCGAGGCGGGCGCTGGCGGCGGGGGCTGCCGGGGCGCCGGGGGCGGCGGGGCGGCGCGGCGGGCACCGGGCGCGGGCACAGCTGCGGGCACCAGCTACGCCGGTGTCGCCGCTGCCGCCGCCACCGCCACCACCGGGCGGATCCCGCGCTTCTGCCGGAGCTTCTTTCGGTCGCTTTACTTTGGCGGCCCGGAGCAGGGACATTATGCCGAAGAGAAAGGTGAGGCGCCCCGGGCGTGCGGGGGGTCCTGCCTCCCCCGGGCGGGTTCGGGGGCCCGAGCGGCGGCCGGTGGGCGAAACGCGCATCAGGGGCCGGGAGCGCCCGCCGCTCTCCCGCCGCCGCTCCGTGTCGGAGCTCGCGGATGGCTCCCGAGCTTGGGCATTTTGCTGCCTGTTGCAAGCCCCCTCCACCCCGCCCCGCCGCCTGTTTACTTCCCCGGTGCCGCGCGGGGCGGTGTCGCCCCCTCCCCGGGGGGTAAAGTGGCGATCACAACTCCAGCCCCCACCTCCCTCTTCTCTTCCTCCTCCCCCGCCGGGGAGAAGCGCCGCAGCAGCTGCGGCTTCGCCCCTGGCCCCCGGCGGGAGGAGTTTCCTGCTCACAAACTCCGGCGTCGCGGCGGGGAGGGGGCCGCCCCCACCCTTAGCGGCCGGATCCCGCCGCCGCCTGTTCCCGCCGCGCCGGAGTGATGGCTCCGAGGTAAAAGGGAGGAGGGGAGAGGCAAGCCATGTTTAAAACAAACTACACCCTTCTCCTCGCCTCCCGCGGCAGACCCGTATGTACCAACTCCAGCGCCCATCCGGGCAGGGCCCCCGGGGGCGGGGGGCGGCGCCTCCCGAGGGAGCGCCCGCGGCCCCCGCCGCGCCGCGGGAGCCATGGCGGGGTGCGGGGCCCCCGCCGCCGTCCGGGCACCTCGGGGCGGGCAGCCTCCTCGGGAGGGAGCCGGCTGTGAGACCGCCTTCCGCAGGGGAGAGAAACTTGGGCGGTCCTTCGGCGGCCGGGCTCGGTGGCGTGGGGGTTTTTCTATCCCTCCCGTGCCTGCTGGAGCCCGGAGCCTTGGCGGCGCGGCCGCCGGGAGCGCTCCGGCGCTGGCAGGAGGCGGGCTGAGCCTGGACGGTGGCAGCCGGCCCCCTCCCGCCGCTGTTTTGGCTCCGGGGGTGGGCGGCCGAGGGAGGCCGTGCTGCCGGAGATCCTCGCCGAGGACTTACTGCCCGCCTTCTGCAGGCGCTAAGAGTGTAACGAGAGACTTGACACTAATGCATGCTATGACAAAAAATGATAGCTGCAGTCCTTTAATTTTAACTAGGTCAACCAAAGCAAAGCAATTTGTGTTTGTCCCAAATGTCACCTATGACCTCCTAATACACCATATCTGGGCTGGGGCTCAAATCTGTTTTAATAAAGTTACAGGTAGATGTTGCCTTCCAGGTAACTCAGTGTTTACTTTTTGTCCTGTGCTTATTGCTTATGGGAGGTATCAAAATGTCAACTTGTCAAGTATGCAACTGGATTATTTAATTCATAGTTGAGGACCTGATTCTGGTTCTGAAAATGGATACAACCATGGGGTTGACTGCCCTTATTGCAATAACGGGGCTTGAAGTCAGTGAGTGTTGGGCGGTTTTTCCTCCTGCTCTACTGTTACTTCACCACTGTGTGTTTCCATGCTTTTATTGCCATTGCTTGTCATCAAGAAAAAGTTGAAAATTAGCCTGTGTCAGTAGGACTCTCCACAACTTTTGAAACCTTCTTAACTTTCTGCCCTGTTTCCTTTGCCCTTCTGCGTTCTTACACTAGAGATGTTTCAGGCTGTCCTTCGTAAGTGGAGTTAAAGACGCTCCTGTAGGTTTTTGTGGTTTGTTGTGAAATGTTTTATAAGAGAAACCATCTTTGAGTAGAAAGTGCAGGAGAACATGTTTCCTTTCTAGAAGACCGCAATAAAAGTAATAAAATCATTGCGCGTGGGATCAGAGCAATGGAAACAAATTTTAATGGTGCAGTAAATTTTATTTTGCTTAATATCGTGTGGGTAAACATTTACATTTTAAGATTATGTATGAAGTGGGTTCCAGGCAAAGTGTGTGATTAGTGGCTTTACTTTTTTAGAAAAGTAGAATTGCTATAAGTATTTTACAATAGTCAATTTTATTCCAGAATAACATCCACAGAGTGAGAAGTTCATGATACAACAGTAGCTGAATAATTACGTCAGTCAGCTTCAACACAGAGGACAAACCCATCACATGCATTTAATAGTCAATTCTTCTAACTTATAACCAGGCTTGTAGCACTGAAAATTTTACGAGGAAATAAACATCAAAAGTCAAAATGAGACATTTTCACAGGGGGTAAATAAATAATATTTCAAAAAGGGTTTAAATTCATCTGTATCTATTTTTGTGTATCCTTAGTTATCTAAACTGGCTGGTTCTTTTTTGTTTGCTTTGCTTTTCATCTCTGATGTTTTTCATCTCTATGTAGACTCAAGTCAGTGGCCGATTCCCTGGCCTTATGTTCATTGTGAATATTATGAAGAAAATAACGTGGGCTGTCTCTGTTTCTCTAGAGGGCTGTGGCCTAGGCTATTTGGATATCGTTGCTCATTGCTTGAGGGTCACAGAGGAAAGGAAAAACTGACTGTGTGTTGAGGTGGTGTTAAATACTGTGCTGAAGCAAAAAGGTGTTGAACTCTGGGCTGCTCCTGTCAGATTTCTGCACCCTTCATCTGTCGTAATAAAATGTTGTGGTGTGCACGTGGCCTTTCACAAGAAGAGTGGCATGCCAGTGTGGGATAAACCAGAATGCTTGTTGTGGTATTGATAGGAACGAACGCCTTGAAATGGGTTGGGGTGTTTTGTTTTGTCACTTGTCTTTCTGGAATTAGCTCTTGGATCATAGTGAAAAACTCCTTGACCTTGAAACAGCCCCAGTAAAAATATCCCAGTGTTATCCGTAAAAGGATGAAGAACCATTCTGTACCTGATGACAAGGAGAATCATAGTATGGTCACATACACCCATGTGCATAAGCATCCATCAAGTTGAACAGCATTTGGCCTCTTGATGTAGAATGTGCACCATCTCTGAGGGATTTTAGTAGGTCAAGTGGTGGCTTGTCTGGTATTGGATGGGGAGCCTGTCTGTTAGTTGGAATTGCACTCCAAAATGACCCAACTTATTCTTTATTCTGAATCTCTGAATCTATGCAACACCACTTGCACTTGTTTTGAAAATGCTTGGAGTGGAATCAGACGTGTGGACTAAATGCAACTTCTTAAGCCATCTTTTTTTTTTGTTTTTAGTGTGACATCTTTGAATATTGCCATTGTTTCAGAGCAAGTAAAAAAAAATATTGTGTTCTAATTAGCCATTTCAGTAGGTTATTAGGTAGCTCCATGTAGTTAGGAATGTAGTTTGCAGTATTGTTGATGCTATGAAGATACAGTAGAGAACATCTGTGGCAGGTTCCTGTTCCATTATGCAAATTCACTTTCTTTAAAGTCAGAGGTACTAGTTGGTTCTATTTACTGCAGGAAAAAAACCTGCTGAATATTTTGCTTGTAACGCTGCTTCTTTAGCAGAAGTTGGAAGGTGCCATATTCAATGATTATCCTATCATAGTGCATTTCTAGTTACCTGATCACATGATGGGTTTTTTTGTGAGACTCTTACTAGTTGTTTTGCCAGCCAGGTCTCTAGTCAATATATTTTCTAGTCTTTGGGCTTAAGTGAATGTTCTTATATGTACTGACTGAGAGCTGTTAAATTCCACTTATGCTTTTTTTGTCTGGACCTAAACTGAGTTCTCTTTGTAAAATTCTTCTGCATGTTTGAGTTTGTGTTTCTGAAGTATCATGAATATTCAAAGAGAAATGTTGTTCCTTATCCACTAGTAGGGGAGATGGGGCACAGAAGTAAATTGCTGAGTTGTTGGAATGGTCTCTATCCTGGATTCTCAAGTTAAGATGACTGTCCTGATGTTTTATTCCCCCTAATAAGCACCACCTGCACTTTTCAGTGGTGCATTTGTTGTTACTTCACCAAATTTGTCTTCTTCCTTTGTGGTATGTACATAGAAACTGGGGAACTTGCAATAGTAACCTGTTCTCTAAAATTTTTATTGGAGCAACTTGTATGTGATCAAACAATTAACTAATGAAGCTGAGGTCCTGCAGGTGACAGCTCTTTTTGCTGCAGCTCTCAATGATCCTGCTGTTGTTCTTTGGTCTGTGGAATGAAGTCTAGATCCTCTGCAAAGAGTAGCAGGTGAGTTTGTGTTCATGATGCAGCAGTACAAAGTATACTCAAGTGCCGTTCAGCTCCATTTCATGTCCCTTTCCATGTTTTGATACTCCCGCTGTGATTCAGTCCATGTCAATTAAACGTACTATATGTAACATAGTGGGTTTTTTCTAATGTTCTGTTCATTTTGAAGCTATTTGGCAGAAAAGAAGCTCCAGTGATGCTATGGGGGCCCACACTTTCCCAATAAGTTGTTTCATCAATGGGGTTGGAAGCTCTTGCTCTGTAGCAGAGAGTACAATAAGGCACACTGTTAGGAGTGAGGTTCTGTATTTCATTTTACACTCTGTAGGTGATTATGGAATAGAAAGGAAAAGGGAGCCAGTACCAGATCCAGATATCTTGGCTAGTGCCTTCTCCCCATTCCTATTTTGTCCCACTTCTTTCTTCAGACTTTCACTTGAACTCCCCCTTTGTTTCATGCTGTTTCCTCCTTTCTCCCTGTCCATGAGAACTAAAAGCAAAAGTCAGAGCTCTGAAAAGGTAGTTTCTCTTTCCACTTTTTTAGACCACTCCTAGACCACTCAGTAAGTACTGGAAAACAGGCTAGGCAACAACAGAAGATGACCTTTGTTGCATCTGTCACTGATACCCCTGACTTTGACAAATTTCTACCTAACAGGTCAGCAGAGTCCTCAGGTGGACTTCTACCTTCAGCATCCTTTGCAGGGACAGGTAAAACAATTGCTATGCAGAGATGCATTTAACATTTGAGCAAGGCAAAGAGAATAGATGTGCCAGAGCATCTTAAAAGATTGCAGAAGCCTTCTAACATAAGGGATAACAATGTTTTGTCTCTTAGAATTTTAGAAATTGTACCATTTGTACTGGATTTTTAACTGTTGAGAATTTTAAACCTTGGTGTGTTTAAAAGCAGTTGAAAACAGCTTAGTTGGCCTACTCAAAGAAAGCCAACTAAGT